AGTGCGGTCCGGCCTGTTCCTGTCCCTCGCACCAAGCCTGTGATGCGCGTCGCCAGCCCGGTCCGGCCTGTTCCTGCCTCTCGCACCAAGCCTATGGTGTGCGTCGCCAGCCCGGCCCAGCCTGTTCCTGCTCCCCGCACCAAGCCAATGGTGCGCGTCGCCAGCCCGGCCCGGCCTGTTCCTGCTCCCCGCACCAAGCCAATGGTGCGCGTCGCCAGCCCGGCCCGGCCTGTTCCTGCTCCCCGCACCAAGCCAATGGTGCGCGTCGCCAGCCTGGCCCAGCCTGTTCCTGCTCCCCGCACCAAGCCAATGGTGCGCGTCGCCAGCCCGGCCCGGCCTGTTCCTGCTCCCCGCACCAAGCCAATTTTGCGCGTCGCCAGCCGGGCCCGGCCTGTTCCTGCTCCCCGCACCAAGCCTATGGTGCGCGTCGCCAGCCCGGCCCGGCCTGTTCCTGCTCCCCGCACCAAGCCAATGGTGCGCGTCGCCAGCCCGGCCCGGCCTGTTCCTGCTCCCCGCACCAAGCCAATGGTGCGCGACGCCAGCCCGGCCCGGCCTGTTCCTGCTCCCCGCACCAAGCCAATGGTGCGCGTCGCCATCCCGGCCCGGCCTGTTCCTGCTCCCCGCACCAAGCCTATGGTGCGCGTCGCCAGCCCGGCCCGGCCTGTTCCTGCTCCCCGCACCAAGCCTATGGTGCGCGTCGCCAGCCCGGCCCGGCCTGTTCCTGCTCCCCGCACCAAGCCAATGGTGCGCGTCGCCGGCCCGGCCTGTTCCTGCTCCCCGCACCAAGCCTATGGTGCGCGTCGCCAGCCCGGCCCGGCCTGTGCCTGCTCCCCGCACCAAGCCAATGGTGCGCGTCGCCAGCCATGCCCGGCCTGTTCCTGCTCCCCGCACCAAGCCAATGGTGCGCGTCGCCAGCCCGGCCCGGCCTGTTCCTGCTCCCCGCACCAAGCCAATGGTGCGCGTCGCCAGCCCAGCCCGGCCTGTTCCTTCTCCCCGCACCAAGCCTGTAGTGCGCTTCGTCAGCCCGGTTCGGCCCATCCCTGCTCACCGCACCAAGCCTTTTGTGTGCGTCGTCAGCCCGGTCCGGCCCGTTTCTGCTCCCCGCACCAAGCCTGTGGTGCGCGTCGTCAGTCCGGCACAGCCCGTGCCTGGGTCACCGGTGCCTGGTCAGGTACCGGTCATCTGCTCCACATCGGAGCCTAAGCAATCCGCTCCACCGATGTCCAGTCCAGCTCCAGCCAGCGGGGCCAGACCGGATCAGGGGCGCTACGGAGGGTGGTGGTCAAGCCCGGAGCAGGAACCGCCTCCGAGGAGGAATGCCCACCCGGCCCTCCCCTGTTCGGTTTATGTTTGGCGCGGTCGCTGTCCGCGCCTTTGGGGGGGGGGGGTACTGTCACGCCCTGGCTCTGGGACTCTGTTATGTTGAGCCAGGGTGTGTTGTTTCTATGTGTTTTGTGTTCTAGGTTGATTATCTAGCTCATGTGTTTCTGTGTTGGCCGGGGTGGTTCTCAATCAGAGGCAACGAGTATCAGCTGTTGCTTGTTGTCTCTAATTGGGAACCATACTTAGGCAGCCTGTTTTCCACAGTGTTTTGTGGGATCTTGTTCCGTGTATGGTTTGTGTCTGTTACCTAGGACTTCACGTATCGTTTTGTTGTTTTGTTTCGTGTGGTGAATCTAAATAAAGTATGTTCACTCATCACGCTGCGCATTGGTCCACTTCTATCGACGAGCGTGACAGGGAGGGACCATACCAAGCCCTATTGGTAACTGCCTTCGCTATAAGAATAGCTGAGAGAGACACTTGGGTCCACGTTACCCACTGCCAAAAAGGAAGGCCCACATACCAACACCGTTGAACACACACAGAGTTAAAGAGAAGAACTGTACCACTAGGGTTCGGGGGTAAACTCTGTTAACGAAGAAACCCTACCCCGACCTTTCATCACTGTGGGGTGTTTATAGAGGTGTGGGAAGTACATTTACATTTACATTTTAGTAATTTAGCAGATGCTCTTATCCAGAGCGACTTACAGTTAGTTAGTGCATACATTATAATTTTTTTCATACCCCCTGTGGGAATCTAACCCACAACCCTGGCGTTGCAAACACCATGCTCTATCAACTGAGCTACATCCAGCAGGTGTATGTCAGGGACAGGATTGGGATGGCGGTTTGGGGGATTTTGGGGGACTCTGAGCTGCATCATCGTGTTAACCATATTATGGATTAATCCAGGTCAACCTAAACAGGGAAATTATTAGTTTATAGTTAAAGTCAGTTTAGGATAAGATGGGGGATTCAAGATACCATTCGACCTCCCATGAAGAGATAGGAGGTTTTGGGGGCTTTGGTAAGAAGGGGGCGTGTACAAGAAAGTTAGGTCCTAGAAGGTATGGTAAATACATTTGCACTGGGGAATGCTCATGTCCTTGGGCAAGGGTGTTTAAACATACCTGGGGAACATACTATGAGAATGGGATGGACGCAGTACACCGATGGAGAATCAAACAAACCCATGATAAATATAAAACGGAACTGGTGATAACGGTAAAGTAAATTATGCAAGATGACATTGCAAGGAACTATTGGGCCTGTGTTGATGATTCCGGGGCAGATATATGTTTGAGGTTCATTTTACAGGAGAGAAATGAATCTTCCACCTCCGAGACAGATCAGCAGGTAGATCCAATGTTATCACCAGAGGTATCAAAAACTAGCCTAACACCCCTTGGAAGGCCCTCAGAAGGAATCCTAAATAGCACTAAACCACCAAGGGTAGAATATTTCCTCTTGCAGGAAATGAACCAAGGAGAAGTAGAAGCAATTTCAAATGAGAACTTCTGGGTAAGGTGGGTGAACTACACAGCTAGGGCATTGGGTCAAACTAATTATTATGCCTGTTCAACAGGTAGGCCAAACCTTCTAACTGCACCTATGTCTCAGACCATGTTCTCTTTTGTGATAGATTTGGGATCAAACCAAACCTCACCTAATTGTTCTGATATTAAAATAACCACTCTTAAAAAGGATAATACTAAGGCACCCCAATTCACCATGACCCACGGAGATTATTAATGTTATAGACACCAAAGTAATGCGAATCACAGATCAAATTGGAGAAGGGTTTACAACAATGTTTTTCTGGTGGGTTACAATTGATAAAAATGTTGACTGGATTAATTACATCTACAAAGGTTTGTTAATTAGACAAGGGATGCAGTGAAGAGAATCTCAGGCCAACTATCCGCCACCTCACTCATGACCTGCAGAATAGATTGGCTCTCGATATGCTTTTAGCAGAGAAGGGCGGATTTACAAGATGGTGGGAGGTCATTGTTGTATGTTTATCCCCAACAATACAGCCCCAGATGGTACAGTAACTAGAGCACTGGCAGGTCTCACTGCATTAAGTAAAGAATGGGCTGAGAACTGGGGGGTGAATACATCAATGACTGGTTGGTTTGATAACATGTTTGGAAAATGGAAAGCTATTGTTGCAACTGTTCTGTGTGCAGCTATAGCTTCTATGGGTATGTTTGTTCTTTGTGGATGTTGTCTTATTCCCTGTGTCCGAGGGTTGGTGAATGCAGTTTCCCAACAGATGGTGAGATACGGCCCAATCCCGGACTCCGACCTAAGGAATGAAGAATATGACCCACCAGGCTTGGTGGAGGACGACGACGATTCAGATAGTTTGAGACTGGATGTTTTCCTAGAACTATAAATCTCTAGGTTAAAAGTAATTTTAATAATTTTCTGTGTATTAAAGTGTGGATAATTTAGTCAAAGGGTGGATTGATATAGAAATGTAAATACATACAGGTTAAAAGTAATGACTAAATGTTCCACCCTTAAATATAGTTGTGAAATGTTCTTGTTTTAAGTATGATTAGTACTTTCTTAGTAGTGACTAATTATTACACTCCGGAACTGTGTGAGATGTGTTAGAATCTACTACCTGGTAATGTGTGAGTGTAGGACCAGTAAAGATTATGACATTGTGCTACTATTTAGCAATGCGAGTAAGAGTTAGGCCAGACAACAAAGGACAAGGAGAACTGTCTACAGGCAACTGAGAAACCAAGATAAAGAGGCCTCCCAATTTAGGGAGGAGAGAGACTATGATAAGAACATATGTGTGTGTATGTATGTGTGTGTATGTGTATATATGTGTGTGTGTGTGTGTGTGTGTGTGTGTGTGTGTGTGTGTGTGTGTGTGTGTGTGTGTGTGAAGTGATGGTCAGGAGAGCAGTTTTAAAGTGGAAAACTACAGCCCGCCTACAGAGGGGTGGGATTTTTGTATGACGTGTGCGTATAAAAATATTGTACCACCATTTTGTGGCAGAATTCTCAATTAATAAATATCTGACTATTGCAACTGGGAGCTCTGTCCGTTTCTTGATCCAAAATACTTAAAACCTTTTGGGAGACGCACAGAGACACTGATATAGTTTGTTAAATAATTATCATAACAGGTGTTTAACAATTTTCCGGGCCTTCCTTTCACACCGCCTGCTATAGAGTTCCTGGATGGCACGGAGCTCAACGCCAACAATATACTGGGCTGTCCGTACCACCCTCTGTAGCGCCATGCGATGGAGGGTGGCGCTATTGCCATACCAAGCAGTGATGCAGCTAGTCAAGATGCTCTCAATGGTGCAGCTGTTGAACTTTTTGAAGATTTGAGGGCCCATGCCAAACCGTTTCAACCTCCTGACGGGGAGAGGCGCTGTTTCGCCTTCTTCACGACTGTGCGCGCGTATGTGGACCATTTTAAGTCATTAGTGATTTGGACACAGAGGAACTTAATGCTGTCGACCCGGCCACTTCAGCCCTGTCGATGTGGATGGGGGTGTGATTCACCAATACTTGCTTTCTTGGGTGCTTACTGCTTAATATAATAGGCATGTTTGTCTTGTCAGAAGTACCATAGAGACCCATGCATGATGTTCAATAAAGGGGCTTTTAGAAAATCACATCAAACCTAGGGCTTTTTGGTCACTTACCTCTGATTTTCTCTAGTGTCGCCATAGCTGGATCCTTAAGTTTAGCCACTAGTTTCTGAACAACATGTTGAAATACCCTGTAGTTACTGAAACCAAGCAGCTCACTTCCCCTGTGTTCCTTGTCATATTCATTGACCACTTGTTGCACTTCATCATTGTCTAAATTGAGGAAAACAATGTTAATCATTTATTGGAGATATAATGGATTATAATCGCTATTGTATGACATAACTATTAGTAGTATCATAATTATATCAGTAAATATTAGGGATATTTAGAAACATAAATATTTATTTGGTGAGCAATATCCTGTCTATTCATAATTGTACCTACAATTTGATTTGGCATATTTCAGACATTCCATCCAGTCTATAAATGCCTTTCGCATGAGCTCAAATAGATTTTCCTCAACGATAATATCCCCTGTGGACAGTTGGGTAATCTGCTCATTGAACTCTGTTATGACCTGAAGAAGGAAACATAACACTATAAAAACATAAAACAATAAAACCTACCTGTTTAAATGTTTCATATTTAGTCCTTTTAGATTACTGTTTTATGAGATGGCTCCACAAGACCCATCCATCCTTACGTCATCTACAGATATTAAGCAAGAACTATCTTACACTGGTGTGTCCAAGTGTTTTTACAAGATCTGCTGTCGAGGCAAAGTATTGTTTAACCTGGTGACAAACATAATCCGTGGGAAATTAAGGAAGGAGAGAGGAAGGCGAGTGGGAGTGTGGAGAAAGTTTTGATGCTGTTTTATTTGTCTTTCTGGACAGTGGTTCTACTCTTACAGCTGTGTTGCAAATCTGACCAATCCAATTGGCAGAGGATGTGCAACAGAGTTGATGCCTTTACTGTCTATAGGAGTGATAGAAACAGACTTTGTCTCCCAAGGACATTCTCCTGACAATTTACCAAACCATGACAATAACACAGCTGGACCACTGTGCAACAGTGGTGGTTTCCAAACCTTACATCATACATTTGTGTGGCAATTTTGTAGAAAAGAAGCCGTTTACGAAGCTGAAAGATGGAAAGGTGAAAGATTGACTCACCTGAATGAGGTACTTTCTCTTCTCTTCAGGTTCCAGGGGAGGCCCACACTCTATTATACTCAATGCAATCTTTATGTCCGCCAGCTGCTCCTTTATCTTCTCTGACATCTGGGGCAGGTATTTCTGACCAGGAGCAAACATACAACAAGTTAATAGGTACCAGACCACATGTTTTCCAGTGTGCACTGGAAACAGATAATCATAGGGTTTGTGGTTGGACTAACCTTGATCTGTTTGACCAGGGCATTACTGAGCTTAGTGGCTAGGCACTTGGTGGTTGCCTTCTCCTGACGCAAGAGGGATCTATACATTAAAAGGAAGAGAAATTTAACAAAAACAGTATTTCATCCCGAAAATGGTATAAAAAATGTCAAATACAAATGTCAGTTAACCCCTTGGCCTACAATGGTCACGCCCCCATGTAAATCTAATTAACATAATAAAATAATCCCCATCAAAATCTGTCTGTTTAAGCTAGAGATATGTGCATGAGCTAAGTTAACATGTGGAATTGTTTAAAGATGATCACACCAAGGATCATTTAGCTATTTGATTTCGAATGTTAAAAAGTACTATATGTAGAAATGTAAGAGAAGGGAGGTGAGTGAGCAATAAAAAGGCCTGGGACTCAGAAGAAAATACTATTCATCAATACTATATGGAACTACTCTCAGTGGATATGTGGAAAAATATACTTTTCATAAAATCCTGAAACATACAGTTTGTGGCCCTGAACATTTTCAGATGTGAAGCCATCAAAAAACAAAGATGCTAGTTCACTTAACACATGGCAAGAACACATTTTACCTGAAGTCTTCATGATTTTGGAAGAATTCCAACTCATCCTCAATCGCACGAGCTATGGACATGTTTTCATCAATTTGCTTCTGACCACGACATTTCACAATGACATAGCCCATATTGAGAACGATGATTTCATTGTGGACAATTTCCAACACATTCTTCTCTGCTCCCGGGTCTATCAGGTCTGGCTTTGTCAGAATGGCTTGAAGGCAAATGAAAAGCATGATGATAACTGCTAATACATAAACCCTATAAAAAATACATGTATCTATATCATTTCTTTACCCAGAGTTCTTGTGCCTTCAGTATCCACTTCTTTTGCCATTTTCAGGGCCTCTGTTGTTGCTATGTCAACATTACATGGTACCACCACCAAAATAATGGTTCTCTTATTCTTGATGTATTTTGTAATGAGATTGTTGATCTAGCAAAAAAGGAAGAAGAATGTGACAGTCAGTCAGGATGCAAGCCTTTGACTGAGTTATTTGATTAATCCACAAGAGGGTAGCCGACCGCTTGTTACCGTGATATAGCCCTGTGTGGGGCACTCTGTTTTTCATGGTTCTGAAGCTTAACCTTCTTCAAACCCAAAACATTCAAAGTACCTTTCACCAGCTTTAACCATCATAGCTACCTTTCTAGCAATTATGGTAAAAAGTCCGTACACCCGGCTAAAACAATTCATCATTAGTGTATCATGAGATGAGAACCAATAGCTATGAGATAACCAAGCAATGTACTGGACAAAAGTCCAAAAGCTATACACTCTAACGTTAGACTTACTTGGGCTCCAATGTCATCTGGTTGTCCTTTCACAGCTACCCTGGTGATCCCAGGTAAGTCAATCAGACTGAGGTCACACACCGTGGAGGATGTGATCTGTAGAGTGATGAGGTCTTCACATATCCCCACTCCCTTTCCAGCTAACACGTTCTGAGCTGTTAAATCAATTACAATATTGATGAAAAAAACTGATGTGTTTATTGTTTTGTATGTCTGTCTGATTTATACCCCAACAGAACTCTTATTATTATAATATATTACGTATTCTGTGGTTGTCTATGGTAAATACCGTATCAACTTTTCCACCAAAAAATAAGAATAGATATGTCAATGTCAGTGGCGGTCGGGGCCGTTTAAAATAAAGGAGAATAATTTTTTTTTTGAATCAGGGATGACATTTTTTCTATTACAGCATATTGGATGACTGACATACGTATTCCATTCACCCAGCTCAATGTCACATCGATAAGTTTAGGCTACTATATCATACTCTAAGTTTCCCTATACCCATCGTGAGGTTGCTACAACCTAGCCTACAAATGAAAGTTTACAACATAAGTCGAGAGACATTTTCGGAATCAAGGTGACAGACATTGACACATTCAATACCTCCTTGCACACTCTTGCCTGCATCTAACTGATCTAGGGTGTAATCATTAGTCCAACAGTTGCAAACGAGAGTTTCTATTGGACAAATTCAGGTATGTTTGTCCCTTTTTCAATCCGTTTGCTTCCGTTTAAGAAACATTTTTCAACATAATTGGTGGAATGAATACACCCCTGATCACACGCAATCACAGTTCACTTTCATAGCAGCAAAATACAAACAGCATGATCCCTTTGATCATTGTATAGCTAATTCCTTCTCTCATATACGCACTCTCCACCTCTCACCTTTTCCCTTCGCTTGTAGACTTAGGGGCACAAAACATCAGCTGCTAAAATGATGCAGTACAGTTTTCAGTCAGCAGCAAGCAGTTTAGCAGTGACACAGGCAGTGTTTCAGAGACAGTGGCTAAAAACTAATTAAACATAAAAGCTTACCTTGACTTGGAAGAGTTCCTGTGTTGGATTGCCATAGCCAGCTAGCTAACATAGCATCCCTCTCTGTTTGAGCATTGTGTTTGACTAGGCTAAACTAGCTAGCTGCATTCGCTAGCTAATTAAGTAAAAATGAAATATAGATAGCTCTCTCTCTCTCCTGCTTCTCCTTAATTTTTGAAGACATTAATTTGTTGAAAACTGTTCAACTATTGTTTTTCTCTCTTTGAGTCAAATACTCATCACATTTTATGTATTGCAGTGCTAGCTAGCTGTAGCTTATGCTTTCAGTTCTAGATTAATTCTCTGATCCTTTAATTGGGTGGACAACATGTCAGTTCATATTGCAAGAGCTCTGACAGGTTGGAGGACATCCTCCAGAAGTTGTCATAATTGCTGTGTAAGTCTATGGAAGTGGGTGAGAACCATGAGCCCCCTAGGTTTTGTACTGAAGTCAATGTACCACAGAGGAGGACGGAAACTAGCTGTCCTCCGGCTCACCATGGTGCTACCCTACAGAAGGCTGTTGAGGCTATGTAGACCTTCATTGCAAAACAGTGGGTTTTAATCAATTATTTGGGATATTTAGTACCGTTTATTTAAAAAATATATATTTTTTAAATGTTTCACTATTTAAATTTTTCTGAAATTCACTGAGGAGGATGGTCCTCCCATTCCTCCTCTGAGGACTCCCACTGGGTTAAATACAGTATAAAATAATGTGTGTGTCGTGTGTGTGTGTGTGCGTGTGTGTGTGTGTGTGTTCGTTCCCATCTGGACCTTGTTCAACGTGTCTCATGACTTCTGAGGGTTCGTCAAAATCAGAACTGAATTTGTCCTCCGTATGAGATGACAGCCTTCCATCTCACTGACCTGTCATTACACAGTTTAAGTAGCAGTGGGCACCTGGTGACAATACCTGTAAACAAGCAAGTACCAATGACCAGATCATTATACTGTATAACAGAACAATCAATGATCTAAAAGCATGTCAGACATTTACAGTGTCACTAAATGGTTAGAACAACTCATGTACAGTAAATACGCATTTAACAGGTTTTTGCTGCGGTTATCAAGTTAATTTGAATATTCTAAACATTTCAGCAATGTCCTTGTCTCTGTGGTCCTATTGTACTGGTCTATATTTCCTGACCTTGTCTATGGACAAGGATGGTGTGAAAACCTGCTTCAGGGTTGTTTACCTTGCCAGTGTCCTAAATCGCCAACTTCAGCATCTTTTCAAACCAAAAACTAGTCAATGCCCAAATCAAATTCCTAAGTTAAACAACCACCTTTCAGAGACTTTGGGTGATTTTGGGCATGACATTTAAAATGCTAATATAGATTTCAATTGTTTTTTTGTGTATATATCAGGAAACAATACAGAATCTCACCAGTCCCTCTGGGCAGCGCCACCCCCAGAAAGGGTCTCAAGCAACAGAGGTATTTCCTGAACTCTGGTCTCCCACCACAGCAAGGGTTTGGCGGGCAGCTCCTTATTATCCCAGGATCCAATATTTTTAAAGTCTATAAAAGGCCGGACCTTCTCCGCCAGGGGTCTTGGAAATGCGGGGGGTTGTGGAGAAAACATGAAATTTATAAAGGGGTTAATTTTTGATGACTTAGGCATGGAAAATTTGATCTTTTCAAGTTTTTCTATTTTGTAACTAACTATATTGCGTACGGAACAAGAAATGTATCCCCCCCAAAAAAAAATTTTTCTGACCAAGTGAACAAAAAGTCAACTATTTAGTTAAATAGCACCACTGTATAAATGTCACCCCGGGTAAATAATCACACTGTATAATAATCACCCCTGCATAAATTCCCCCCATATAAATAATCACCCCTATAAAAATCACCCTTCTAAAACACCATGCATAAAATCACCCCTTATAAAAATCACCACTATCAAAATAATCCCACGTTTAAAAAAAACCACTGCATAATAAAACCAGCATAAAAAATCACCATGTATAAATAAACACCCCTTTAAATAAACACCCTGTATAAATAACACCCCCTAAAATTCACCCTGATAGAAAAACCACGTTAAAAAATCACCACTGTTAAAAAAATAATAAAAACCCCGCCCATAAATAACCACGCAAAAAAATCCCATGAAAAAAATCACCAAATGTTTTAAAAAAATTTTTGTTTTTTTTTAATACCACTGTAAATATCACCCACGCTAAATAATCACCCATGTTTTAAAAAATCACCACTGAAAATAATCACCACTGATAAATAATCACCCCTGATAAAAAAATCACCACTTAAAAAAAAAAAATTAAACCATGCATAAATAATCACCACGTAAAAGAAACCTGATAAATATCACCACTGATAAAAAAACACCCCGCAAAAAAATCAACGATAAATTCACCACGATAAATAATCACCCTTTTTATAAAAAAACCCCTTTAAAAAAACACCCCTTCAAAAAAATCACCATTTTAAAAAATCACCCCTGCATAATAATCACCATGATAAAAAATCACCCCTTGTAAAATTATCACCCCTTTAAAAATTTTAAACAACCCCTGTAAAAAATAATCACCCTGAAAAATTCACCACTGTAAATAAACCCCCTGTATAAAAAATCACCCTAAAATAATCACCACTTTAAAAAAATCCCTGCTAAATATACACTGATAAAAACACCATGATAAATAATCCCACTGATAAAAATCACCCCTGATAAATAATCACCCCCGCAAAAAAATCACCATGATAAATTCACCACGAAAATAATCACCTGTATAATTCACCACGATAAAATAATCACCCCCAAAAAAAACCACGTATAAAAAATCCCACGAAAATAATCACCACTGAAAATATACCATGATAATAATCCCACTGATAAATAATACCCCGAAAAAATTCCCCCACTTTATAAATAAACCACGGATAAATAATCACCCCCGATAAAAAACACCCTGAAAAAATAATCAACCCCGCAAAAATAAATGTTTTCACCACTGATAAATAATACCAGGGGGGGAAAAAAATTTTAAAAAACCCGAAAAAACCCGGGGGTAAATAATAAACGCAAAAAAACCACTGGGGGGGAAAAACCCCCCCGAAAAAACCACTGTAAAAACAAGGGGGGGAATAAAGAGAAATAATCAAACGAAAAAAAACCCACGCAAAAAAAAAAAAGAAAAACAACCCAGAAAAAAACCCAAGAAATAATTTACCACTTTTAAATAATCCCAAACCATTAAAAAAAAATGATAAATAATCCCCCGAAAAAAATCCCATCACCAGAAAAAATAACAGATAAAAAATTTCCCACTGTTTTTTTCACCCTGAAAAATAATCACCACATTAAAAACACCCCGTTTAAATTTCCTGAAAATTACAGAAAAAACACCCTATTTTAAAAAATTTCCCCCTTTTAAAAATCACCCCGTTTTTTACCCTCAAAAATCCCCCACTTATAAATAAAAAAATTAAAAATCAATGAAAAAAATAACCTAAAATTTAAAAAAATAAAAATACCCCTTATTTAAAAATGAAAAAAATCACCCTTTTTTAAAAAAAAAAAAAATCACCCTAAATAATCCCCTGCTAAATAATCACCACTTAAAATAATCACCCTGATAAATAATCCCACTTTATTTTTAAACCCCGCAATAAATAATCAATTATAATTTCACCCGGGTTTCACCCTTATAAATTAAAACCCGTATAAAATAATCACCATGAAAAAAAATCACCCCACTGATAAATATCACCACTTTTTTAAAATAATCACCCTCATAAAAAATCACCAATGTAAAATAATCCCTGATAAAATAATCACCACTGAATAATACACGCAATAAAAAAAACTTCTTAAAAAATCACCATGCCCTAATCCCCACGATAAATAAACCAAGGATAAATAATCCCACTTTAAATAACACCATGAAAAAATAATCCCCCTATAAAAAAACACCCCAAATTAATAAATAAAATTTACCCCTCATAAAAAATCACCACGTATAAAATCACCCTGTATAAATAATCACCCTATTAAAAAAAAACACCCTTAAATAATCACCACTTAAATAAATCACCCCTGATAAAAAACACCACGATAAATAAAAACCCCCATGCAAAAA